CGCAGAGTTTTGTGTGGTGAGTGGTCATGGGAGGAAGGGTGGAAACATGTGATAGTAAACTGAGTGGGCCAAGTGTAAGGTATATTAATGGGATTGATATAAATTGAACAGGAACTCTGGTGGGCAATATTGGAATAATAAACACAACACCAGACAAGAGAAGCATGCAGTCACGGTTAATGGCATTCGGCGCGAAAGTCTGATGAATAGGTTGGCGAGTTACTGCAAGCTTATCCGATAGATTGGTCGAAGGAGATGTGGTAATTGAATACGAGCTTCTCTAACTGGATAAGCATATTAAATTATTCGACCTTGATATGAAATTCAACTTGGTTATTTCGCTTCTTTAGAAAAAAGAAAAACCGCTCAAAACATACGGATCAAACATTTAAAGTAGACCAAGATTACGCACGTTTCCTTCCACTCTTGAAAAAAATACAATTATCGCAACGATAACGTATTACCAAAATTTCTTTCCGTATGTAGTATGGGTCAAGTTATTGACTTCCCCCCACCTACATCTTCAATACAACCTTCCCTTTAGTTAACGAACCTACTCCTGTGCAAATTGATCGCTAGTTGTGGTATAACATTAATTGGATAACTGTGAAGATCCAAAACCATAGTTCTTGAATAGAAATTGGAGAACGTTGATGATGATAAATGATAATGGTATATGTCCAAAAGCATACAGTATATTGTTGTTCGAAAAAGTATTTTCGGGTTACAAAAAGTGTACCATAAGTTTTATGGTATTGAAACATAGTAATAGCATAGTCATTCTATGCGCATTCTTATTTGACATGTGTTTCATGATAATAAATTGCACAAGCCCTTCCTCACCCAAATCCTATACATCTTATAGACTATGAAACGAAAAAAAAAAAGTCATATACTAAATGTGCATCAATAATGTAAATTTGAGCCAACAGACTGACTAATAAACATACCCAAGAATCGCTCCAGCCATTTTCCAGAACTGCTAACATAAAATCGGTTTAAATTTGATAAGTCTGCCTGAATAATTACTACACCAAGTGGTAACCAACTCTCATATATGTAGAAGTCTGTCAACTTAATTGATCCAAGTATAAAGTTCCAATAATTTAATAACAAACACATCTTGATCTCAACGTTTTTCATAGTAATTGTCTTAAGCTGATGTTGAGACTGTATGAGTTTTTGCGACCCATCATAATCCGACGATAGTCCTTGCTCTTAACTGAAATCGATTCCAGATTATGTGCTGCCCTAGAAAGTTGACTGAATATGCTATCTATACTATCGTCAATAATATTGAATTTCTTGCGGGAGACAAACTCTTTAATGTCCCGGAGACAAATCTTCTGCAATAAATCTGATAGAACTCTGCGCCGCTCTTCTCGGACCTTATTGTCCTCCGATATTAATATAACCTTTTCTCGGTCAATATGTCCAGCTCTCTAGGAAACTTTTTACGCGTTTCCTGTTTTGTCTCGCCTATCCCAAACCGCTTTCTGAATACATACTAAACGCGCTGCCATGGTCATATCAAGTAGCACGTAACTATTGGCATTGCTATCACTTCGGCATAATGCTTGACATAGCATATCCATCCGGCTTGCTTCATTGACAAAGCTGAGGACGCGGTGAAATACAAGAGAAGTAAGGGATTGATGGCGTAGTGAAATTGATTATTTCTAGTAAAATCCGGCATCTGACGTCCTGGAAAACCTGCCGCATAATTTCTTCGATAAAATAAAATTCGATTGAATCGGTCTGGGTTTTTTGGTGCCTTTTGCCGGTCTTTAATTGGGCATGTAGTTCAGAATTCATTAAATGCCTGAGGGAATAAAAAGGCTATGATTGTACGGGTCTTGCTGAGAAAAGAGACAGGTAAAACGGGCGGTGAATGAGCTCTAGAAGACTATATAATATATATAGTCAAACGGGGGAGTCCATCGTTCGATGAATGTTATAGACTAGCGCAAGAGTATAACGTGGGGCCCCCTTATGAAGTTCAGATAATTACTGCGGTATTGAGATAGAGTAGTACAGTATGTAGGTATGATGAGCAAGATTTAGTCGTGTACGTGATCGTTACATGATGACAGCAAGCTTGATGTGTCATCTTATCAGTATCAGGTACTTATCATTATCGGCAACGGTGCGTAGTAGTAACAGGAACAGCAGGTTAATTTCAGGATTCATTGCACTGTCACCTTCCGCTATGTTTTGACATTCTATGCGGAAAACAAAAAGGGAAATGCGCTGCATTGGGAATTGGAAGGAATCTAGAAAATAAAAATCTCCAAAGGCAGACAATTTGCGGATTGATATGGTGGCTATCATCTATAAACCGCACTAATGTCACATGACTTTAAAACTTTATAAGTTAAAAACAAATAAACCT